CTATCTATCTATCTATCTATCTATCTATCTATCTCTCCTCTCTCCCTCTCCCCCTCTCTCACTCTCTGTCTCCTTCATCTTCCGTCTTACTGATGACCCTGAGATAATGAGATTTCATTTTTAAGTCGAAGTATAATTCTCCGTTACAGAGAAGAATTTCAAGCCATAATGTAAGACGGAACTTTAAGGTCAACCCACGTATAGTTGAATCAGGACTTAAGTCGAGACCAGTGAGTTGGAAAATGGTCTCTTTGAAATGTTATGAATTCGACAAAACGAATTTCTTAGTGGATTCTTATGTATTATCAAATGGTACTGTATTAGTCTTGGTGACATTATTAAAGACGTTCTTTTTTCTGTTTCTTCCACAGAGCACAGCCACATTATAAGATCCGTTTACGGGTCCCTACACAAGGTGAAGGAGAATTTTTCCAATCGGTGAGTAGACAACAACATAAATATTGCTTTTATATTTCTCAAGACTTCTTGTTATCTTCCGATTCTTTTGAAATTCTCGTTCTTCGAACTTTTACTATCAGAATTTGATTATTCGCCATATTTTTATTATATCATTCTTCTGTTAAAAAAACTGGACGTGTTTCTTTCTATCATTATATCAGCGTGCGCCTTGAGAGAAAGGCTCATATTATTGAGCTGATTTCGCATCCTGCTGGATCTGGATATGACTGATCCAGGTTCAGTTCTTTAACATAGCATTTAACGTTGTTCTAGTTTTCTCTGCTGGCCACAGACTTCAACTACCACGCTCTCTGCGAGAAATGATGTTCTATGTGCCACTGGCCACCTCCAAAAACCTCTATTAAAATTGACGAATCCCGTACCATACCATAGTGTACCGTAGCTGACTGTACCACTTCATGCTATACCAAACCATGCCATACCATACCATACCATACCATACCATACCATACCATACCATACCATACCATACCACACCATACCATACCATGCCATGCCATACCACACCATATACCATACCATACCATGCCATACCATACCATACCACACCATATACCATACCATACCATACCACACCATCTACCATACCATACCATACCACACCATATACCATACCATACCATACCGTATACCATACCATATCATACCATACCATGCCATACCACACCATATACCATACCATACCATGCCATACCATACCATACCACACCATATACCATACCATACCATACCACACCATCTACCATACCATACCATACCACACCATATACCATACCATACCATACCGTATACCATACCATATCATACCATACCATGCCATACCACACCATATACCATACCATACCATACCATGCCATACCATACCACACCATATACTATACCATACCATACCACACCATATACCATATCATACCATACCACACCATATACCATACCATACCGTATCCTACCATAGCATTCCACACCATGATGTGCCCTACCATGCAATTTCATAACATATTTTTGTGCCATAGCATAGCACAGCATGGCATAGCACAGCATAGCACAGCATAGCACTGCACAGCATAGCATAGCATAGCACAGCATGGCATATATATATAATCATTACAACACATTGCATAACATTACGTAACTCAACCGCGTGTTTTACTAGGGCTTTTGCTCGCCATCGTTTTTTCCCTTCACTGAAATGAGAAAGTGAAAGAGAAAGAGAACGAGGAAGTGGAGGAGAAAGTGAAGAAGAGAGAGAAGGAGGAAGCGAAGGAGAAAGAGAAAGGCTGGGGCCAAAGATTTAATTGCAATGCCGGGAGAGAAAAAAAGTGGAAGAAGTGCTAGAGATGAAGGATGGTTTTGATTGTTGGTGTCGGCATTGAGATGAAGAGAAATTGCGTGAGATGTTCGACCGCCTTTTAGTTCCTGCTCATTCTCCCAGCAGATTGTTTGGGGATCTTTTTTTTTCTCTTTTTTTTTGGGGGGGGGTGTTTTGTTTTTTTTACTTTATTGAAGTGACTTGAATATTTTTTAGGCAAACTTCGCCTCATCCTAGGAATCGATTTTATTCGCCCCAGAAGTTTCGCTGGTTTAACTCCGCTCAGCACCACGCTACCTGTCATGTTCTGTTCATGTGGGCCGATCGGGGGATTTTGTTTGCCTGTATGGATTTCTGGCCCAGTTTGAAGAGGGAAAAGGAGGAAGAGAATTCATGTTATATTGACAGCCACACGCGTTGGCAGACTGCTGGTGGGCGAGCGTTCTTACTTTAGTTTTAGTTTAGTTTTAGTAAGTGTTTTACCGTACTTGCAACACAATAAGGTCATATAAGTGCTGAAGATTCGAGATGTTACGAGAGAGTAACAAACGCAAAAGAGAAGGAGGGAAGATAAAGACGATAGATGTTTGATAGGAAAGAAGATGGGACGGAGGGTGTGGTTGCTTGTTTTGGATTATAATTTTGAT